TGGCAGAACTGAGGGGGGGGGACCCCTAAGCCTGGCTTGGGATCACCAATAATCTGGGGCAGAGCAGGGACCTGAGCGTGGGTCTGCCAAGTCCTGGCCCTCAATCCTCCTCGCTCTGGTTTGGACACAGATCTCAACCCCAGGCGCGTCCAACCGGGCGGTGCTGGCGCTGGGAGAGACTAGCCAGCAGCCCTGCACAGAAAGGTCTCTCCTGAAAATCAAGAGCTTCGCATTAGTCACGTCCGGCTCATCTTTGTAGGAAAGTGCCCAGCTAGGAGCACGAGTCCTGCACCTGCCGTGCATCACGTCTGGTTTGCATCCCGTGGAAGGGGGCAGCCTGCCAGCATGTCCCGTGCCTTGGAAAGGCTCAGGACGCCCACCCGTCGTCTGGCGGGGGCGGATCATTCTGTCTGCCTGGGGAGCGGGAGCAGCCCTGGGATTATTCCTCCTTTCGCAGAGCACGTGCCTGTTCCCGGCGTTGCCGGAGTAGCAGGCGGCTCCTGGAAGCTGCTGGCTGTGTGAAGAACAGCAGATCTATCCAGACGGGGCCGGGATCGAGGAGGGCTGCAGCACCCCAGGCACGTACACCTGCTGTTTCCGCAGAGGGGTGTCGGCAGCCTGCGCTGTGCACTCACGACCCACAAGTGGAGCAGACACCTCCAGGGAGGTTGCCCCGTGGGCCCTGGCCTCGCTGCGGCGGAGTGGGACCCCTCCTGCTTGGTTTGCGTGGCCTTTGATCCAGACGGGGCCGGGATCGAGGAGGGCTGCAGCACCCCAGGCACGTACACCTGCTGTTTCCGCAGAGGGGTGTCGGCAGCCTGCGCTGTGCACTCACGACCCACAAGTGGAGCAGACACCTCCAGGGAGGTTGCCCCGTGGGCCCTGGCCTCGCTGCGGCGGAGTGGGACCCCTCCTGCTTGGTTTGCGTGGCCTTTGCACGTGTGCGCGGGGGAGCCGTGTGGGCCACGCTGCATGGATGGCAATTCACACAAGCCCCCGGCAAGGCTGCTGAGATTTGAAGAACAGAGCCAACTCCATCACGGCATGTCAATACCCTCTTCCCCATGTCAGATGCACCCTCCCGCCTGCTCCAGGACACTGCAGGGCCAAGCAAATGGCATTGAAAGGGTTCTGGGTTCAGTCACGCTCCTTAAAATCCAGGCAAAGCAGATACAGGGAATCACAGCAACATAGGGCTGGAAGGGACCTCTCGGGTCACCTGGTCCAGCCTTTTCCCAGGGGCAGGACCAAGCAAACCCAGCTCATCCCTCCAGGGGTTTGCCCCAAACCTCCAGGGATGGGGAGTTAGCAGGTTGTTTTTCTCCAGACTGCCCTTGCCCCCTTTTTTCAGCCTGTCCGTGGAGCTCAGCTTCTCCAGATCTTTCATTTCTGCTGCTCTCCTCTGCACGCTCTCCAGCTTGTCCCCCTCTTTCCTGAGGCGTGGTGCCCAGAACTGGACCCAGGACTCCAGCGATGTCGAGGGAGCAGGGCAGTTACCTTCCATGCCCTGCGTACGACAGGCCTGCTCACCCATCTCCACATGACCCGGCCTTTCCCATGTCACATCCCGTTGTCGCTCAGACTCAGGGCACCCCAGACCCACCCCACCGTCGCTGCACCTAGCCGGGGTTCCCGCCTCCCACATGCCTCCCCAGGGCAGCGCTTTGCCCTTCTCTGCATTGGTTTCCTCTTGCCGATTTCAGACCAACCGTCCAACTTGTCCAGGTCGTTCTGAATTCTGGTCCGAAAGCGCCTGGTGTCACAGCTGGTTTTATAAGCCTGCTCCAGTCCCCTCGCCACCTCGCCTTAATGACAGTACCGAGGCCCAGACCAACCCGCTGGATGCACCCTCCCGGCCGCCGCGAACGACTCTTTGACTTGCTGCTTCCAACCAGTTGTGCCCCCGCGTCGTCGTCATTTTATCTAGAGCACACTCCCCTCTCCCCCCCGTCGGTTTCTGAGTATGCCATGCGGGACCACCTCCACAGCTTGATTCAATCCAAGATGGCTCCTCCAGCCGCCCAGCCAGTCACCCGTCAGAGGAGGGAGGGAGGCTGACTGGGTAGGGTTTGTGTTTTGGCAAATCCATGCAGGCGGCTCCTCGTCCAGCTGCTCTGCAGGTGCTCACAGGCTGGTTGCTTAATGAGTGGAGGAGCTGATAAAACAGACCCGGCCAGTGCCTGTTTTCAGAAGGGGCATGTGAGCCTGTGGATCCCTTGTTGCCCGCTGGCCCTGGCCCTGGCAACGCATATGTCAGTGCAGGGAGCCTTGTGATACATGGAGAAACACCCGTTTCACCTCCTAAAATCAGCTGTAATTTTGCCTAGAGAGGCCCACTTCCATCAGAAAGCAGCCAGGCCCAGGGCCTGTGCCAGGCACGTGCTGTGAGCTGGGAGGCCTGCCAGCGTGTGCTGGCGTGTTAGCGTTCGCGCCTTCCCGCGCAGGTTGGTGCGTGCCAGGTAGCACGTGAGTGGTGCTAATGCCGGGCTCAGAGGTCCTGGCAGCCCGCCAGACGCATTTTGCATCCAGTCCGATCGTGGCCCAGCGTGGGAGTGTTTGTGCAGCTTCCCCGGCAGCCAGCACGTCCGCTGGCAAAGCGGGAGAAGATGCTAACCCCGGCGAGAGCAGACGCAGGGCCAGCCCATGCCTACGGGACAGAAAGCCAGAGGTCTCAGCCTCCAGGCCGTGTGGAGGTCGCAATCTGCTGCTGCACGAGTATGCTGGCAGATGGGGACGGTCCCAGACAGCAAGACAGGGCCCTCGGTCCATGGCCCAGGAACGCTGCACAGTGTGCAACCCCTGTAACGTCTGTCACTAGGCTCTGTGAGAGGAAAAGCGAGAAAAAGAGCCCTCCAAGAGCTCTGCTGCCCCCCAAACGTCATCCCCCCCAGCCCCAGCGTGTCCCTGCTGTGGCCAAGCCCTCCTGTAAAGTCCCTCTGGCTGCCCCGGACACCCTTTTCCTGGTGGAGAGGTGCTGAATGGCTCCATCCCACGTGTGATCCGTGCGGTCGCATAGGCCACAAGCTGCTCCCACACGGTCCCGTGTGGTGAGGTCCCTCAAGCTTCCCAGGCGTGACACAGAAAGCGCCGCTTCCTCCGGGGGCCCCGGCCGGGCTCGGATCTGGCGATGGGAAATCGTGGTGTGCTAAGGCCTGGCAGCCAGCTTGCAGGGCAGGCTCGGTTCCTGTTCCTCCTGGCGCACGTTCACCGGGAGCCATTACAGACGTGTCCTCCAGCTGATCCCTTTTTAAAGCTGTTTGGCTTTGGCTGTCACAGTGGGCCTAAAATGGAAGGCGGCTGGGCCACTTCTAGCTCTCCCTCCCCGGCGGGGGAGGCTGCACTTGGACGGGAAACCGCTCCTCTTCGCAGCCCTTCAGCAGGTTCCTTTTCTGCAGTGCGGAGCTGGCTTCCTGCTGCTTTGACAACGACCCTCGAGACGCTGTCTGTGCTCCGGGAGGGTCGGGGGAGTAGCAAACAGATGGTACAGTGTGGAGCAGCTGCCTGGCCTGCTCTCCGAAAACATCACAATTTCTTTGCTGACAACACTGTGAACGCGCCCAGGGATAAGAGGGAAGGGCCTCTTCTGGGCCAGCCACTGGGGACAAGCTGGGAAATGAAGAGTAGGAACGGTCAGTTTTCAGGAGAGAGGGAGGGCAGTAGGCGTGTCACGTAGGGGTCTGTTCTGGGACCGATCCTATGCAACATCATCAAAAATGCTCTGGAAAAGAGGGAAAACAGGGAGGTAGCATAATTTGCAGATGATGCAAAATTCCTCATGATAATTAAGGCCAAAGCAGACGGCAAAGAAGGGATCTCACCAAGCTGGGTACCTGGGCAACAAAATGGAAGAGGAAATTCAGTGGTGGTAAATGTAAAGTTGTGCACACTGGAAAACCTAATCCCAACTATGCCCACTAAACCAGTGTTCCTTAACCAGCGGTACGAGTACCCTCGGGGGCACTCGAGAGAAGTCTGGGGGGACGTCGACACAACTGAAATTTGGAGAAAACTGAATTTTTGTTTTAAGTTTTATGGCACTTTATTATTTTTGTACTTTTTACACCCAAAAATGTAATCGCACGCCCGGCTGCAATTACGTTGTTTAAATAAATGTCTTGCAAGGGTAGAAAACATTTTTGTGTGTCTGAAAACTGTAGGTACTGGGGGTACTTATAATTTTTTCTAAAGGGGTACTTTATAAAAAAGGTTGAGAAACACTGTTCTAAACGATGGGCTCTGAATTTGCCGTTACCACACGTGAGAGAGAGAGAGAGAGAGAAAGAGAGAGAGATCTCAGAATCCGGGTGGCTAGTTCACTAAACACATCCAGGTGAGGTGCAGCAGCAGTCAGAGAAGCAAACTGAATGTTAGAAACCAGGAGCAAAGGGAGAGATGAGAAGATGGAAAATTCTGAATGGTGCATGCAGTTCTGGGCACTCAGCCCAAAAGAGCTCTATGGTATGAGGAGAATGACTTTATGGAAAGCTGGGAGTTTTTCCAGGGGCTGTTTCTTGGGAACTCCATGGTCACCTGTCCCCCGAGGTGGTTCATTGACCAAACCCCCGTCCCCAAGAGATGCACCAAATTTGAAGGGAATCGTGGTAACCGTGGAAATTTTAGGGAAACTTTTAAATTCATGGCTGAGCCCTTGGGGACATGGTCTGTGGATTGTGGAGGGTCTGAGTCGGTGATGTGTGTCCACTGCCCTCTCTCCTAGGTACGCCATTGGCATCGCCTATAAGTCAGCCCCCAAGAACGAGTGGATCGGCAAGAACTCCTCCTCCTGGGTCTTCTCCCGCTGCAACAGCAACTTTGTGGTGAGACACAACAACAAGGAGATGCTGGTGGACGTTCACCCGCAGATGAAACGCCTGGGCGTGCTCCTGGATTACGACAACAATGCCCTGTCCTTCTACGACCCGGCCAATTCCCTCCATCTCCACACCTTCAGCGTGTCCTTCGTCCTGCCCGTGTGCCCCACCTTCACCATCTGGAACAAGTCGCTGATGATCCTGTCAGGCCTGCCAGCGCCGGACTTCATCGATTACCCAGAGCAGCAGGAGTGTAACTGCCGGCCGCAGGAGTCCCCATACGTCTCAGGGATGAAAGCCTGCCACTGAGCAGCAGCCAGCTCCAGGGCGGAGCACGGGGAAGGCTCCTAGGGCTTCTGAGCAGCTGGACTGGAAAGCAGGCCCTGCCGCCAGGGACCCCGCGCTCTGCCAGCGAGCCCCCTTCCCCCCGCCACGGGAAACACGAAACTTTGCAGGCGATGGAAATAGACTTCGTGGCGGAACTCCGTTTGCGCGGGAGGGGATTGCGAAACTCTGGTGGTGGCAGGGGAGCGTTCCTCCAGCTGGACCGTCCCGCTGCTCATTTGGGGCGAGTGGAGAGGGGGATGGGCAGTGCGGGTTGCAGGGACCTTTAGGAGATGTGGGGAGGGGACGGGGTGGCCTGGTAGAGGAGCAGGCCAACTGGCTCCGTTCCGGGGGGGGGGGCCACCAGCCGTGTCTCAGGAAGGATCCGTCCCGGCAGCGGCACAGCTTTCGGTGCCACCCAGCAAGGTTGCCACAGCCACGTGGAGCCAGTCACGCCCTCGCCAACTTCCGAGGGTGGGACCCGCTGGGAGCAGCTGCGTGTTTAACTGGCGGGGTGCACGGCTCCTGCCGCTCGAGGGGGGCTGAGACCTGAAATCCAGCTCTCCCCGGCGCTCCCTTTCCTTCCGTTGTCACTGCTCCTATGGGAGGCTCTGCCTCGATAGCCAGGGAGGCTCCGGCCCCGCTCGGGCGGGCACCCAGTCTGTGTGAAATGCACCAGCGGAGGTGGTGGGCGGTGGAGAGCCAGGACCCACCAAGCAACGCTGCTGCTTGGCCCAGAGCTAGGTTGAGACGTGGCTGTCCCCAGCCTCTCCTGGGATAGCCTAGGCCGCCCCCTGGAAAGCGTGTGTGCCCTGGGAGTGGGGCAGGAGCCCCGAGGGACCTGGGGCTGCCCCCAGGCAGGGGGAGGGGAGGCTGGCCAGGCAGCATGTCTCCAGAGAAGCAGAAAGCCAGTGGATGTGAGGTGTGACTACTGTAGAGCACAAGGACTGTTCATTATTTATGACCTAGAGCTGGATCGCGGCCCCGCGCAGCCCTGCTCTGAATGCACTTTCTCCTCTGGGCGCCGGGGGGGGCTGGGCTCCAAGGCAGGAAAACCCCGAGGACAGTTGTGAGCACGGCAGCGTGGCCTACAGCGTTCTCTGGCCAGGGCCGGCAACCCCACCCCCTCGCACGCAGAGACTTGCCCCATGCCTTTGTGCCCCCCATGTCCCGCCTGGTCTGACCCCGTCGGGCTGGGACCTCATGCCCTCACTGGAACCAGGACTGAGCAGGGACGACCGGCCGCTCTT